CCTCGAAATACATAGTGGCTTCAAAAATGGAATCCATTACACCAACAATCTTGAAGCTAGGGCTGTTGTACATGAAGCTATTTATTGTACACAAGGTTGTTACTCAGGGTGGTTCTACACATGGTGGTTGCATGTGGAGCTGTATATGTGGTTGTTGTACATGGACAGGATTGTTGTACATGAAGCTGTTGTTGAACACACGATGATGATGAGTGGGAGTTGACTTTATAGGAATTTACAGCAATTACCAGCAAAATACAAATAGTAAATACATCTTAACATGGATGTTGTAGTCATAGAGTTTTAGTTAAAACCTTGTAGCCAGCTTCCTTTGTGATAAACCCTCTTTACACAGAATATCCTAGGATCATATTTCCCTCAATGTAGACTTTCCAGTTTAGTAACATTTCTTCAGTTAAATGTCACCATCTACCAATAATTACAGGACTGGATTTGTCCAGTGCTGAGTGCACAACAAATGTGACTAAGGTGACTTCTTGAGCAAGAAGAGGGAGTTCTGCTGTAATGTTGTTGTTGTTAAGTGCTGTTGAGTGGAATGTGACTAATAACAACCTTATGAACAATGCATCTGAAGGCTGCCCTCTCCTGTGCTGTCCTCACCAGTGCAGCCAGCGTGTTTCTTAAAGGTGAAACCTTGTCGCACATACTTTGGATATGTTGTTATGAGGGGCCAGCTCTTGGAGAAAGTCGTCGTGCTGGGAAAGGTGGAGGGTCAGAGCACAAGAGGAAGACCCTCAGCAAGACGGATTGACATGGTGACTGTGACGATAGTCTCCGGCATATGAGAGAGGAGGGGGAGGCTGGAGGATAGGATAAGGATCAGATCTGGTGTTCACAGGGCTTCTGTGAATTGTAGTGAACTCCGTGGCACCCAGCAGCAGCAGCAGCAGCAGAAACAACATTGATTGCAGCGCTGTTTGGAATGGCAAAGAGTTGGAAAGAGCCCGAGTGCCCATCACTGGATGACAGCTGGCTAAAGAAACTGTGGTGGAGTCACACAATGGAGCATGACACATCGCTAAAAAGTGATGGAAAATTAACCAGATGCTGGACAACATGAATGAAATGAGAACAAATTATGCTGAATGACAAAAATCATACTCAAGTTGATGGCACCTAACAGCAGGGGTGGCATCCACTTCCTAAACAGCATGCTCTGGAAACTCTATGAACTTTGATAAATGACGATAGTTATAGAAAGGCTTCAGGTCTTTTGTTCATAGGGTCGCTATGAGTCATGCTCGACTCGATGACAATCAACAACTTCAACAACAACAACAATATATATGTTTATGTGTGTATACATATAAATATATGAACACACATATACATATGAACATATATGTATATAGATATATGAAGCAGGAGTAGCATCCACTTCCTAAACAACATGCCTCTGGAAACTCTATGAACTTTGAAAGGTGACGATAGTTATAGAAAGGCTTCGGGTCTATTGTTCATAGGGTTACTATGAGTAGTGCTTGACTTGATGGCAGTCAACAACAAGAACACGTTTTTTTTATATAGGTGCATTTTATATATATATAGGTGCATTTTATATATATAGGTACATTATATATATATAGGTACATTTTATATATATAGGTACATTTTATATATATAGGTACATTTTATATATATAGGTGTGTCTATCTATCAATCCTCTATCATCTATCTATCTTTCTATCTATCTATCTATCTATCTATCTATCTATCTATCTATCTATCATCTCCAATTGTTGATGTGCTAGGATTACTACACTGTAAGCCTGGCTTGGCCTGGTTGATTCACACAGTTCAGAAGACCTGCAGTTTTCGCACCTGGCATGACCTGAAGAACACTGTTGATAGTCTGTTTTCCAAGTCCGTGATCTTCTTGGGAGAAGCCCATATGGTGTAGTGTGTTCCATGTTGCGCTGCTCATTGGGAGATCAGTGGTTCACATCCACTCGCTGCTCCACGGGAGAAAGATGGACAGTCTCTTCCCATCAAGATTTACAGCCTTGGACACCCAGTAAGTCACTGGGAGTTGGAACTGACTCGATGACAATGGGTTTGGTTTAGTTTTAGCTTTCCTGAAGAAGGATGGTAAGAGTCCTATTTAACCTGCTTGGCAAATAGCTAACTTTAAAAAGGTAATTGCTACTAAAAATGGAATGTCATCATGCTTAAGGAAAATTGTTTTGAAACCACTGTTTTGAAAATGAGCTCCTGTGTCTTGAATGCAATTGAACAAAATACAAACTTGAATTCACAAAGGCACGCCATCAAAGGAACAAGTAAGATAGAAAATAGCCTTTTTAATGAAAAATACATTTCATTCTGAATGATGCAGTGGGATTGATACTGTCACCTAGGAATCTTCTCCTTTACTTTGTGCAGAAAGTTACACATTCTAGATTTTTTTGAAGAGATAATTTTAAATTCAACAACTGACCATGCATATCCATCACTAGTGGAGTAAATCTCTGTCTTCGTGATCTCTTGCATGTCTTTAAGTTGTAAACCTCCATAGCAGAGAAAGTTCTTTCTGTGTGAGACACTGCTTCCACCTGAATTGATGTCACAAGCAATTTCTCCTTTAGATTACACATTTGGCATTTTGTTGTGCTGAAACATTCTACAATCTGATTTTAGAATTTGCTGTAAATACGCAGATAACAAAACACTTGCAAAAGGGTGTGCAATCCTGTGATATTGTGTTCATATTGCTGAACCATCGGCCCTGCCCATGTCCAGATTTCTCCAGGAAACTTATAGAAGGTCAGTGGCCCCTAAGCAATGGTTCCTCCTTTCCCCCGCCCTTCCACCTGTCCCAGGAACCACTAATAAACTCTACACGATGTCCTTGTCTTTCTTTTCCAGATATTTTGTATAAGTAGACTAATCAATGTGTGCCTTGTTTTGGTCCCTTTGACATTTGGACCCCACTCCTTGGACATTGAATAAGAATTGATGCTTTTAATTTGTAGTGCTGGCAAAGAGTACTGAATACAACAGTAGATTGCCAAGAGAATCAATAAATCTGTCTTGAAGGGCAACCAGGGTGCTCCTTAGAGGCAAGCTTGGTACAAGGCCATCTCTCATACTTTGAGCATGATGTCAGGAGGAACCGATGCTTTGAGAGAGACATCACACTGGGAAAGGTGCAAGAGAGGAAGACCCTTGACCAGATGGATTGACACAGTGACCGTGACAATGAACTTGAGCATGGCCAACCCTGTGAGGATGGTGCAGGATGCTGCAAGGTTCCCATTTACTGTTCTTAAAGTTGCTATGAGTTGTCTTCCGGGTGTTGGAGAAAGACATGCTCAGGAAAGGGGAAGGTTAGTGAAGGAGAAGACCATCAATGAGATGGGTTGACACAGTGACAGTAACAGTGGGCTCTAGTTGGTAGAGATGATGAAGGTGGCACAGGATAGGGCAGGTTTTATATCTAATGTTCATAGGCTCACTATGAGTCATAGTCAACTCGATGGCACCTAACAACAACAGCAACAACCTTGGTGCAATGTTCATCCATGATAATGTAAAAGAGGGGACCTGGACATTGTGTCATTGCTGTGTCCGCGGCCCCAGAACAATGATTGACTGGAGTATGTACCTAACACATACTCGTAGAATGTGATCATTGACAGCTCTTGGGCAATAGTTCCACACCCACCTGAGGCTCTGAAGTGCCAGCTGGCACTGACTGGGTGGCTGCGACGGGTCCTGCAGGCAGCTTGCCCAGATGTCACAGAAACTTCAGCTCTGTTTACAGCAGGGCGTATTGCTGTTTGATTAGCTTATTGCCTTTTGCCCTCCTAATCTCCTAATCTTGAAAAGAGTGCATTAGGCCCTTCAAGTGCAGATAACAGTAATAAAGAAGCTAGGGGATGTGAGTGAGCTGAATGCAACTTAGATAGTGCTACATGCTACTGGGGGTGATGAATTAGGTAAGGTGCTCACTGTTAACTAAAGGATCCACCTAGGGAAGTTGTGGAAGAAAGGCCTGTGACCAACGGCTCTTAATTTAGCTCTGGGTCTGTCTGTAGAGGATAGCAGGCCCAAGGTCAGCCCTATCTCACGTTGACTCTCTGGTTCTCTGCTTTGCCCATGGATGCTGCTGCTGCATCAGACTGGCACAAGAATATCTGGTATTTAAAGGCATCTATGGAGGCCCATTTCTTCTTTGCTGGTGGTGAGAGAAACTCTGCATTTGAATCCACTCAATTTAATGGTGAGGATAGCTAGTACCCTGTGGATTGGTGAGACGTAGCCAATCCAGTTGTGGGTGGGTGAGATAGCCAGTCCCTGAGTGGATTGGCTAACATGTCCTATTCACAAATCCCCATCCACTAACATCACAAGTCCAGTCCAGTGGCCATTTTGAATAATAAGCTCCACATCGTTACATGAGCTTCTAATTTAAAAAATAGTGTTTATAGGTTTGTGATTTCTAGATTTTTTCCCTGAAAGTTATAACTTTTTTGTGTCTTTTCCAGAAGGAATCAGTGACCTATAGGAAGTCATATCACTGAAGTGAATAAATAAAATAAAATGAAAATACCGTTTGTGTGCTTTAAATAATTTATTTAAAATTCACAATATATTTGCAGTTAAAAAAAAAATCAAGACCTTTCTTAAGAGTTCATTTAACAGCCCTGGATTTAAAACCCAATTGAATGGTAACATTAGAATTTACTATCATTTCTGAGTATAGTAAAAGTCAACTGAATAATTATTCTGTTAGAGTTGAAAGTTATTTCTGAGTATATTATTACTGCTTTATAATCAGAATGTGAGACCAAATTAAGTGAAAAGTCTTCATTTGCGTTTAAAGTATTCTGATACTTGAGTGTTGATTGCCCTTTGCTGGCCTGTTGTGAGCACCCCAGAGGTGAAGAACTTTGTGATAATATTCCTTGAAGGTAATTGATTACATTCCTTTTGTTCAATGCAGATTCTTAGCTCCTGGAGATGCTAGAGGTGTGTTCTCAGTTGTCTTCTTTCTAGAAAGAGAAGGGAATTGAGTGGAGCAAGGGAGAGAGGCAGTTAGAAAGTAGGAAACCAGAGAAAGATCTGAGGGACAAAGAAAGGAGAGAGGAGAGGAGCCAAAGGATCTGGAGAGAAATGCTAAAAGGGATGAGTTTCTACATTAATATCCTCCTATGTTTTTTCCCCTCTCCCGTTAAAATTCAGTTTAACCCTCAAACTCTTTCAATTAGGGCATAACTCAGCCAGAACCTCCTTTTTTTCTGGACAACTCCACGTCCTTTTTCCATTCCAGCCACCCTCTTTCTCAACCCATTGACTGCATCTCCTGCCTTAAGCTCCCTCTTACACTAGACTTTCACTGTTTTGAGTCTCCCATGACCTCTGCCTACCACAGGCAATGACTTCTCCACCCAAAATTCTCAGTCCTGCTCACCTCTTCTATGAACTTTATAAAGACTCTTTCCCATCTTTCCTTTATGCATTTGATTCTACTCTCACCAGTAGGGGATCATGATGGCTGTGTGAGCCCCAGGCCCCTCCTCATATTCCGTGAGACCAGCACAGATGTGGGCAGTCAAGATTCACAGGAACAGGTGTTTAGTCCCATTCAAGAAAGAAGCCACATCCTGAGCACAATGAGAGCAGAGTGTCAGGGCAGGAAGCAGGTGATTCTCCATCACTTAGCCCAGTTGAATGACCAAGAAGGAATCTAGTCCAAAAAGAACAATGCATGGAAGCATATCTGGAGATCAGGATGACACTGCACATGGAAAAGTAAGAGAAGAGGCCCCTTAAGAACAGGAAAGAGGACTGGACTAGCATGAGGAGTGTCCGCACAAAATTAGAGTAAGTGAAGGAATCAGGTAGGTGATATTTTGATGCTGTGTTAAGAACACCCATCAGTACTAATGACTTTTTTCCTTCACCTCCAAAATGGCTCGGCTAATGGATATATTTTATATATCATATGATTTCCATCCTTTTTTAAATGTTGTACTGAAATATAATTTATCTGTATTAAAAGAACATTTATACTGATTACTGACTTTTCTGGGCTTCCTGTAATTTTATACCCAGGTAAAACCCTTGTTGGCCTTCCCTTGCTGTGGTCTTGCAGGAAGAGATGGAGAAGGAGGGTCCCAAAGTCCCCGGGCTGACACTATTGAGCTGTGTTTCACCATCTCTCATTATTAGGTTCCACTGAGTCAACTACAAAGTGACCTTGTGAACAACAGGTTGGGATCTGACCATACCCTGCACGAACCTCCTGGTCTCTGCCATGCTTGAACCCATTATTACAGTCACCATGTAAGTTCATCCCCTTGGGTGTCATCCTCTGTTTTGCTGGCTCTCTACCTTCCCCACATCTACTCCTCTACCCATTTGTCTCCCTGTCTGATCACACACCAGTTATTCCACAAGCTTCTTTTCTAGACCCCCACCTTATGCCCCAGAGTGATGTGAACCCTGTCAAAAGAGCTCCTGGTGCAGGAGGGCTGGGGACAAGAGACTCAATAGGACCTTCTTCCAAGTGGGAGCTTAGGTGTTGGGAGGAGAGTAATTCTGTGATTATCAGAATTGGGAGTTTTTCCCAAACTGCAATGCAAAGGATTTTCAGTCAAGGACTAGGACTCTCATCAGGTGACTGTGACAAGACAGAGATGACAGATGGAGGAGTGTGACCGGTCACACAGGTGAAATAAGAAACGGCTCTGGGTCCAAGAGCAGCTGATGAGGCAGCACCTTCAAAAGGACCCTGCTAGGCCAGACTCAGCTCAAAGTGACTGGAAGTAGCATTCTCACTTGGAGCAGAGCCAATAGACATGCAGCCTCTTGAGCCAGAGGTCATCCTGGGTGGTTGGGAAGCAATGTCCCTTGTATTCCAAGGTCTTGCAGTCTGGCCCATCCCTCTTCCCTTCCTAATGCTTTTGAGCCCTGACCGCACTGCACTGTGGATTCTGCCCAGGCCAAAGCCACCTCCCCAGCCTCTACCTGCCTCAGACACTCTAATTTTCCAAGATGAAGCCCAGGAAACAGATATCTAGGAACTTGAGCCTTGGGAAGGCCAAATATTGACTGTTTTAAGCCCTTTCTGCCCATATTTCAATGATGTAAAGATAATCTTTACTCTCCTCGTGGATAAAGTTGGTAGGGTCAGGATAGGTCCTCGGTAGGTGTGGAGAGGATGATTGTAGCCTTTTCTGGCCCTACTACCATTTATTCTGAGGCATCCTGAGGGAAGTGGGCTGAGAACCAGAGCCCAGGGTGACTCTGGGTCTGAGACATGGGAACTTTTTGTCAGTGTGTATCCTGAAAGCCAGTCACAGCAGATCCCACCTCCACTCAACTCCAGCACACACCTGTAGGGGGTCAGGCCAAAGGTGAGTGGTCCTCGGTGGGACAGGAGAATTAAGGGCTCTGGCAGCTCCCTCTCCTCTTGATCATTTCCCCTCCAGCTCTGTCCTAGTCACCCTGCCCATCACCAAATGCTTTTCAGCAATAGAAGAGAAAGAAAATTCCATGTGTTCACTAGATGGAATACTACAGTCATGACAAGAGATGATCTATAACCACAAAAACAAACAAACAAACAAACAAACAAACAAACAAACCCAGGATGGATGAACCTCGTACACATTAGGTTAACCTAAGAAACCAGACACCAAAGAATCCACCCCAAGTGGTAAGATTCTGAACTGTAATTCTGAAAGAATGTGGTTCAAACCCACTCCATAGGAGAAAGATGGGACATCTCCTCCCGTGCAATTAACTCTGAGAACCTGCTGGTGGGTGAGCTATGGGTTGGTTCTGACTCGATGGTACACAACCACAATAAAGAAACCAGACACAAAAGAGCCCACACTATAGGATTACATCTATATCAAGCTCAGGAAGAAGCAAAAGAGACTTAGGTTCTTAGGAGACAAAATTGCCCTTAGCCTTAGGGTGAAGCAGAGAAGAACAGAGAGGGTTCAGAAATGAGCTAGGGTTGCTATTCTTTGATCCAGGTCTAGACAAGTGAATTATAAGTTGTTGAGTGTTTTACTAGAAGCCTATATCTCAGTTCATGTGTGTGAATTATTGTTTCTAATATACAGGAATCAATTCCTAAGGCTTATCAATGAGAATCCAACATTATTTTTCAGGGTTCAGTTCTGTGGGGTCAGCTGGAGTGCAAGGACATAGCCTGGAATTCCTGAGTCCAGGTCCAGAGGGTGCTCAGAGTCCAGGTAAGCAGCAGGTAGAGAGTCTATTGACTCCACAAGTGAGTCTCTCCTTCTGGTCGGTGGTCTGAGGGGGATTAACGGCACTAATGTATCAGGACGGCCTTCCTCAGCATTGAGCATCAACATGACCGTACAGGAGTGAGGTGACTTCTCACCCAGAGCAAAGTTACAAGGTCAGACTGTAAGTTCCATGAGGGGCGGAAACACAGCAGTACTTTAGGGGTGATGGCCATTCTGGAATACAGCAGAGCCCACAGAAACTTTCTGCAGAAAGGTCCCTTCAGACTGCTGTCATGTGAGGTGTCTCACTCTGAGTCATCTCCTTGACGAGGAAGGATGATTCCAGAAGTGGAAGAAGACGTGGAAGCCCTAGGATTGATGCTGGGGCAGAAGGACAAGGAGAAACCAAGCTGCGAAGTTCAGGTGTGATTTTAAGATAGTGCATACGGCCTGAGAGGAGAGTGGGCTGGAGGTGAGGGAGGCACAGGCTGGAGGAGGAGGAAGAAAGCTGAGGGCAGACGGAGAGAAGCAGAGCGTTTACAGGCAAGAATGGGAGGGGGAAGAAGAAGAAGGAAGGAGGCACAGGGTGCAACGCAGAAAAGCTTAGGGTGATCATGACGGAGCAGAAGGAGACTTTAGGGAGCATCTTGGGAGGAAAAGAGTGGAAGGAGGGTCTCCCACAAAGGGTAGAAGGAAAAGAGTGGAAGGAGGGTGTCCCACAAAGGGCGGGAGGGTGATGTGGGGACAACAGATGACTGAAGCATGGCTCTCACCTCGCACTCCAGGATGTCTGCAAGCCTCCCAGCAAAGAAGTCCATATTTGCTTCTATTCCCTCCCAGGGCTGGAAGCGCTCTCCCTGGTGGTCCACAAAGGTTTCCCAACAGTCCTCAAAGTCTGTGTAGGAGAATGCAAGGTCAGCTTCCAGGGCAGGGGAGCTGATGACTTGTTTCTAAGGGGGTAGAAATCACCCCACATTGGCTCCCCTTCACCTCCTCTCTAGCACCTCCTCCTCTACTGAAATATCCTTTCCAAGTAGACTAAGAATCCTGTCCCCAGGGCCACTAATAGTCCTAACACAGGACCTTCCTGCAAAGCATCCGGCAGCCCTTCCAGCCCAGTCCTCCACCCTGACGCCCAGTGGGTCAGCTCACCCTGAGAAGACATGATTTTGATATGGACCCCAGCCTTCTGCAGGTCCCTCAGCCCCTGCTGTTTGTCTGGCTCATTCCAGAAATACAGGCGGGATGTGAAGATGCTCAGGTGGACATTAGGGTGCTCCCGCAGGAAAGTGGACACTTCCTGGGCACACTCAGCACACGGGCTCCAGGAGATGTACCAGGTGACTTGGTACTGATTGTAATTTTCCAGATTCTGAATGCTTCCAGAGTCCCGGAACCGTATCTCCACATGTTTTCCTGATGATAAAAGAGAAGGGAAGGGAAGGTCAGGGCTGTGGGCTGGGTGATGACCCCAACTGGATGGAGGCCACCGTACTCCATTTCCAGAAACCTCTCCCTTCCCCAGAAGGGAAGTGTGGGCATCAGCCAGTCATTCATTGTCCCCTCACTCCTTCCTCAGCAGTCTCAGGGTCATGCCTCAGCAGGAACCTGGGATGCACCACACCTGGTCCTGCCCTCAGGAGACCCCAGTCTGGGGGAGATAGTCAAGGACCACAGCGATCATCCTCTCCAACCCACCTGGCACATTCTCAAGGACAGCAGCCTTGAGTAAGACAGGACCACTTTCATTCAGCTGCTCTAGACGGTAGCACAGGTAAGTCATGTTCCGGTCTTGTGCCTTCTGTAGGTTCTCAAACTGAAAACGGAATTCCTCTGGAGACATCTGAAATCTAAGGACACAGTAGGGATGAGAAAAAAAATTTTTTTTTAGTGCCTACTTAAGAGTCTAACTGGGTGACCCAACTGAGTCATGACTAGGAAGAGGGGCTGTATCAAAAGTAACAGGAGCACGTTGACATGGAAGGGTTTGAGCCAAAGCAAGGTCGGCTTCTCAGCTTTCAGCTCAGGGGCTTTTCCCAAGTTGAAAGTCCAGCAGTTTTGTAGGGACTTGGGAGAGGAGGAGGAAGGGAGACTCCTCTGCATTTGCGGTCCTTGAAGTGCTCTGACCAGGAGCTGGGGATTGATCTGGGTAAGCTGATGTGTGGTCCTAGAGAGAGCATGGCTAGAACAGGACAGGGCTATGACGAGTGAAGAGAGAAGTGTCTTCTAGAGCTCAGGGCAGAAGCCCACACTGGGTGGGGGAAATTTCCCACAGAGAAGCCCTGAGGAGAAGACCCAGGAGCAGAGAGGAGTGTGCAGTACCTGTCTGTGTCCATCTCTTTGGCACTGGATTCCTCTTTCTCTTCCTTCTGCCTGCTCGTAGCCGTTCTTTCTGCCTCAGGATGCTCTTCAAACTCTTAAGAGCCTAATATACGGTCAGAATGTTTCCACAACTTCCCTGAGAAGACAAACCACACCTACCTTAATGCAAACTCAGGGTTGTTGACAGAGTGGTAGTGACTCATGAGGTGTCAGAACAGGACAAAGTTGTCGCCCAACCTGTGCACTGCTTATAGACAACAGCTTGTGTTGCTGTAGGGATCCACAGGTCAGTTCCTGGCTGGTTTCTCATCACGGCGACACCCCTAGACTCTGACAGTTAACTCAACTTCACCCCTGGAAGGCAGTTATTTCATATTGGACAAAGAATGGTATGATCCAGATGCGTCCACTTGGGAGGTACAATCTGATCAGATTGGAAAGGGACAGGATTGACAGGTGGAGGCCAGGTTTACACACCTGGAAGGGGAAGCCTCAGTGCAGGATTGGAGGGTACCAGATAATCATCCTTGTATCCTCTTGGGGGGCCCACCGCAAATTTTGCCTGTGACACCAGCTGCTGAATGAGACCTTCCTGAATTGACTGGACTAAACAAAATCACTGATAGATTTTCAGGAAGCTTGGCTTTCATCTGAGCCCTCAATCTGCACAGATCATTTTGTCAGACTTACCCTTCTATATTTCAGGTGCAAAGGTGAAAGAGAACTATGCTTAGTCTGTCTGACAGTTGAGGAACAGACTGTTAAGAGGTCATCAATTGCTGTATTAGGCTTCTCTATTTCTGTTAAATAATAAAATATTATAATTGGTGTCAACATCCTCTGTGTACAGTGATTTGGAGGCCACTGGATGACCCAGAGTTGGGAATCAAGGTTCTACAAATGACTTTCCTGATACTGTGTCTTTGTCTTCTGTATAGAAGCTGGGGAAAGAGTTGGTTTATCTGGACCATTACTCCCATCAGTAAAATAAAAGTATCTTCATCAGAATAATAAAAACCAATGGATGTTGGCAGAGAGGCAGGGATATAGGTCTTTCCCAGTGAATTAACTTGAGTACTTGGTGTTAATTGTAACTGAAATAATCCACACTCCTGGTGACTTTATGCATAAGAGAATGAGGTGTTACCGAGCGTTGAGCCAGGCTCAAGATCTTTGACATATTTAAGCTCACTATTGGGACTCTTGTGTCAATTCAACTTCTTGTGAATGACCCTTACTTTTGCTGACCCTCTACTTCAACTACCATGATAGTCTTGTGTAGGGCTGGGTTTTTATTATGATGTGCACAAAGCAAGAAAGATGAGTCTCACCAAATGAATCTTCAAGGAGTGTTCTTATTGGGTGTCTACTAAGACTGACTTCCTCGTCCTTATGCCTGGTTGTTGCTGGTGCTGTTAAGTCAGTTCCATCCCGTCTTGACCCCACGTACTTGAACCCAGCGCTGCCTGGTCCTGTGGGTCCTCATGGTCATGACTACGCTTGAGCTCGTTGTTGCTGTCACTCTGTCCATCTGTCTCAGTCTTCCTCTTTTCTCTGACCCTCTACCATGCTTCATGTCCTTCTTTAGTGTCTACTTGTCTCTTGGTGATATGTCCAAGTAAGAGAAGTAAAGCCTTGCCATCCTTGTTCTCAGGGATTTGTGACCGAGCTTTTCCATGACAGATGCCTTATTCTGTAGCCCATGACATAGTCAATAGTCTTGACCAGCACTCTAAGCCAAAGGCAAAAATTCTTCAGTCTTCCTTATTCACTGTGCAGGTTTCACATGCATAGGATGTGACTGCAAACAACACGGGTCAGGCACTGCTACTTGGTCCTCAACGTGGTATCTTTAATTTTCAAAGACATCTTTTGCACCAGATTTGGCTGGTGCAATACATCATTTCATTTATTGGTTGCTGCTTTCATGGATGCTGATTATGGGTCTAAGTAAAATGCAATGATATGTTCTTTATTACCTCTGGTGGCCTAGTGGTAAGAATCTGTGCTGCAATTCCAAAGGCACGTGGGTTCAAATCCACCAGCTGCTCTGCGGGAGAAGGATGGGCAGTCTCCTCCAGTGTGATTAATTGCCTCTGAAAACCCACTGGAAGGTCAGCTAGGGATCCGTTCTGACTCAGTAGTACACACCACCACCACCACCACCACCACCACCACCACCACCACCACAACATTCTTTATTATTTACAACACCACAAGTTAACAGTTGTTGTTGCTGCTGTTGTTAGGTACCAGAGAGTCGAATATGACTCAAAGTGACCCTAAGAACAGAAGATCTGAACCCTGTTATGTCTGGAGCCATCCTCACCCTTCCTGACACACAAGAGCCCATTGCAGCAGTCACCATGTCAATCCACCTGGTTGAGGGTATTCCTCTCCTTCGCTGACCCTCCACCCTTCCCAACATTATGACCTTCTCCAACCAATAGCCCCTCCTAGCAATATGCCCAAAGTATGTGAGGCAAAGCCTCATCATTCTTGCCTCCAAAGAGCACTCTGGCTGCACCCTTTCCAAGACATATCTGTTTGTTCTCTTGGCCATCCATGGGATGTTCAGTGTTCTTCTCCAGCACCACAGCTCAAAGGCCTCAATTCTTTCTCTGTCACCCTTATTCATTGTTCTGCTCTCAGATGCATAGCAAGTGATTTGGAAGACTATGGTCTGAATCAGACACGCAAGTTAACCATATCAAGTCTTTTTCCATTGCCCAATTTTCGCATACTTATGAAGTGATTGAAAAGAACCTAACTTGTTCGGGTGCTCCTCAGTCACCCTAAGAATAATTTTTCTTTTTAGAATTTCAGAGAGAGATCTCGGACAGCTGATTTCCCCATTACTGTATGTAGTCTGGTTTTTTTATTTTAATAATAGAATATTTTATTCACCATAGGTGGGAAAATTGATTTCACAAAGTCATTTCTCATTGAGTTCCCTGTAAAGCAGTAAGCTTACAGAAAATTTCTTTTCCATGAACAACAACGAAAATAATATTTGATCCAAAATGTGTCAAAGTCCTTATTTTCCTTCAGATAAAAGATGTGGATGTAGTTGAATTTATGAATAATTATATTTGTCTGAAATGTGCAAAAAAATGCAGAAGTATAAGAAGAAGACACAACCAGCACCAGAACAGGAACAACGTTGAGCCTCAGAGAATGTTCTGTGTAGAACTGTCATGTTTTCCCATACGGACTATATTTCTTGTTTGTTGTTGTTGTTGTTGTTATGTGCCGTCGAGTCGCTTGCGACTCATAGAGACCCCATGTACAACAGCCCTAAACTCTGCTCTGTCCTGTGCCAATCACACTGTCTCTGACATTCCCATCCCAATTACCCCAGTCACTGAATCAATCCACCTCATAGAGGGCCTTCCTCTCCTGCGCTGTCCCTCCACCTTCCCAAGCATGATGTCCTCTCCAAGGACTTGTCTCTCCTCATAACATGTTCAAAGTATGTTAGATGGAGCCTCAGAATCCTTGCCTCCAAGGAACCACCTGGTTTAACCTTTTCCAGGATGAATCTGTTTGTCTTCTGCTGGCTGCTGGGTCCTGACGCCTGGTCAGCCACTGCATTGGAAGGAAGGAGAAAGGCCTGGAGAGGCCATGTTCATGTCTCCGGGGTTGAACGAGGCATGTTGGTAACCAGATGAAAGCAGAAAGATGAAGCAGTTACTTGATTTCTTGATTGACTTCCATAGCTGTTCGTTATTGATCCAAGTAGGATGCAACCCACCTTCAATGCTTTCTCCATTTTTTGGTGATATTTGCTTAGTGGCTTATTTTTGGTTTTCTTTGCATTTGGGTATAACACATACTGAAACCTGCAGACTTTGAGTTTCATCAGTAAGGGTTTCAAGTCTTCTTCTCCCATAGTAAACAAGACTGTATCACCTACATTGCACGTTAATACATTTTCCTCTAATCTTGATGTCATGTTCTTCTTCAGGGTGTCCTGCTTCTCAGATTATTTGTTTAGCACATGGACTGAATGCGTATGGTAAAAGGATACAACCATCTGCACACATTTTCCAGTTTTGGACGAGGCAAGATGCTCTTGTTCCATTAGAACAACAGTGTATTGATTCAATGTACAGATACTGTACTGTGTGCACACAGTTACGTGTTCTTGAGTTCTCATTCTATATAAAGTTGTAAAAGACATTTGCTTAGTTGAAAAGCAGAAGTAGATAACTTCTGGCATTCTCTGCTTTCAGTCAAGATCAATCTGACATCAGACAGATCTTGGGATCAAACAAGGGATATCCCTACGCCAAATTCTTTTCTGAAGCCAGCCTGACTTTCTGGCAGTTCCCTTGGATGTATAGACGCAGTCATTTTTATTTATTTTTTTTGTGTGAGAAAAATTTATTACATTTAGAATGAGCCTGCTGGACTCAGTTTAGATGATCCCAATTTTGTGGGCAACATCCAAAGCATCAT